TAGTTGGCGCCCAACGTAAAAGTTGCTGAAAAGTGTAACGCAGTTAATGCCAGCAGCAGGGGGGACAGTGGGCGGTGGGCGGTGGGCGCTGAGTAGAGGGGGCGCTAGTGTCGGGTAAAGTAAAGTTGGGGAAGTTGGTTTTTGGTTCTGCTGCTGGTTCTGGTTGCTATTGCCACCATTGCTGCCGCTGCTGCTGCTGTTGTTGCTGCTGCGTCGCCTACGCGGCATAGTTTTAACTGTGTTGCTGCCATACACTAACCAAAAGTGATTCACTAGACTATTAGAGGAAGGTGAAGTGTAGGAACTGGTCTAGCTGCTCTTGAGCTAATAATTCAAGGCAGGCTGAACGACAATACATAAAAACTATAAATATATATGTATGTATTCAATACTATACTATACATTTTATGCTTCAATGGTCCTGACTCCAAATAAGAGAATGCATGATTCCATACGAAAATATATACGAAATTTCATGTAGGAAAATAGAACGAAGTTTTATATAGAGATTTAAGCCTCTTAACTGGGATATTATCTTAAGTAGACAAAACAATTTTTTTTTTTAATGTATACATAATTTACTGTATTTGAAAAAACAAATCTTTAAAGCCCTTTTCCTTTAAAAATTCTATTATTAATAACTTTTAAGAATATTTTTGTTTCATCTAAAAGAAAACTTATAAAAAGGCTTAAATTAGTTTTAAAAATTGTAAATGTTTTTAAAAGCTGAAAATGTTAAAATAAATATATAAATTAATTTTTTTTTTTTGCTAATAAAAAAGCATATAAATAAATTTTAAATTATTTTTAAAAATTGTAAATATATTTTATAAATTTTAATTTAAGTATTGCACTGAAATACATTGACTTAAATTCTTTAGCTAAATATTACTAAATAATAAAAGCACTGATTCTTTTGCTATGGCTTAAGAAACCAAAATTTAAATAAAATTAAAATTTTGCTAAAAATTTATTATGACTGAAAATACATATTCAAAATTAAAAAAATATTTTTAAAATTTTATTATTATTAAAATCCTTGTATTTTACTCTTTTTTATTATTATTATTATTATTTATTATTAAATGCATATTGATAATTTAATTGGTTTTTTTTTTAAGTTTTATTCTTCTAATAAACAAAAAGTTAGCGCATTTCAGCTTCGTTGTAGTTGCAATAAAATTTTCCTTTTGCATTTGTTGTTTTGCCCAAAAATTCACGCACTTTTTGTGCGGCTCTCTATGTGAATGTGATAGAGTCTATATAGGACTGGCTGTATGTGTGAGTGTGTTAGTGTGTGTGTGTGTGTGTAAGTGTTGTGGCAAGTACATAGAGGCGCCTTTATGTGCGCAGATTGCCCTGCTGGCCAAAATGCTGGCTCTATGGAGGAAGCGGGCGCATTTCGGCATTCGCTTTTCACTTTCGCCAGCGCCACCTAGCGACGACTGGTCGCGGAGCGGGTGGGGAGGGGACATTGAGTGGGTGGAGTTGGAAAACTTTCGACATCAAAAAGAACTACTTTCGATAATCACAGGGCTGGCGCCAAAGGAATTACATTTGCCGGCTGTGCGTAGCTGTTTTTTTACAGCTTTATTTTTGTTTTTTAGGCTTCTGGCTTTAAAGTTGTTGTGCGAATAATTCAGCCGTTGCCTATTTTTATGCGAATTTTATATATACATATACATTTTTCCGCTCATTTCTATGCATTTTTTATGGGCTTTATGTTTTATTGTTTTGCGGCGATGAGCTCAGCACAATTTGCAAATATTTTTTTTTTATAGTTTTTCATTCTCTATGTTTCTCAGCAGCTATTATTAATTAAGTTGAAGGGAATTTTCTCAGTCATTTTGGCTTCTTAAACTTTTCATTTTTTGCAGTCTGAAGAATTTTCAGCAAATGACATCATGAGGCTGTGAACGGCGAAAATGCAACGGAAAAACTTTGGTGGTGGATTTTTTGGGGGTGCACAAACCGGTTTTTCCCCATGAAAACCCTTTTTCCGTTTGAGGAAAGCTAAATTGCTGCAGTTAAGTAATTTCAGAGGGAATAAGTTCTTAATAAAGGGGTTGCTCACCTTGATGAGCAGCCACTCAGCGGGTGGGGAGCAGGGAGGCTGACTGTTATTAGCTCGGAAAATCAACATGCATTTTCATAAGAGAAAATATAACGAGAGTAACAGGTTTCGTATAGCCCGATTTCTCAGAAAATTAATATTTATATAAACAATGTGTAATATTATTTTAAGTTATAAATATTATGCAATAAATATATTTACTAGAGATTATAATATAACAGATAATTATAATATAAGAGAATATAATATATATATAAAATAAGTAAACAATAAATAAAGCCTTCGGTTATATCCAAAATGTATAACAATTGTTCGAATTAGTTCTAGTCCAAATTCGAATTTCGCGCCCATTTCAATTCCTCCGGTTAAATTGCTTAAGCAACCAACATCAAGTGAGTCAAATTTTGCGCGCAGCCAACATTGCTTGCCCACGTAACAACTATCACGTAACGCAACATGCGTAACGAAGACCATAATTGCGTTAACGTTGTCAATTTAAATTAAGCTATTTTCAGTATATAAAATATATAAAAATATACAATTCACAAGGATTAATTATATATGTTGTAAAATATATATAGCATATTCGCTTGTGAAGTTAAAATATAAAAATTTAGGTATTTTATTGTATGAAATCCGAGTGTCACAAAATTATTGGCATTCTTACATTTCAGGCTACGGTCACACTGGTTTTTCACAGCAACAGCAAAGCAAGCGGACGACGTTGGTCTCGTCAACGAGATTTTCGATACAAAAACAAATAGAGAAATAACAAATTTAAAAAACCCATTCACAAGATGATGAAAGCCGTGTCCTGTGCCTATGTGCGCGCCACCGCACAGGCGCTGTCTAACAGCCTGCGGGCCACCGGAGCAGCCGTTGGTAAGCAAAAACGAGTGAAGTGAGAAATCGAGACGCAGAGCCAGTTATATAATGTGAATTTGGCTAAAAATGCGAAAGTGTGTGCAGTTCATAATAATAATAGCTGAGCAATAAATGATTTTTGCAATGTTTGTTATGCCTAAATGGCACAGCCTGCCAATTTCCTTACGTAATTTCAACATAACCTTCTCAGCGAACAGCTGATTGAGTGTACAAGAGTGTAAAGCGAATAGAAAATATGCCCGCTATATAATCGAATTTCCCTTGCAGCCACACGCCAGGCTCACACCGACCTGCAGGTGCCCGACTTTACGGCCTATCGTCGTGACTCGGTGAAGGATTCGCGTCGCCGCAACGAGAGCGCTGAGGAGCGCAAAGCGTTCTCCTATCTGCTGGTTGGCGCCGGTGCCGTTGGTGGTGTCTATGCGGCCAAGGGCATGGTGAATGCTTTCGTTGGCTCGATGAGCGCCTCGGCCGATGTCTTGGCCATGGCCAAGATCGAGATCAAGTTGGCTGACATAGCAGAGGGCAAGTCGGTGACGTTCAAGTGGCGCGGCAAGCCGCTGTTCATCCGCCATCGCACTCCTGCCGAGATTGCAACAGAGCGGGGCGTGCCCACCTCCCAGCTGCGTGATCCCGAGACAGACGATGTAACTATATAGTATTATATTTCTATCGTAACTTTATATCTATATATATTTGCATTTGCTTGCAGCAACGCGTGGTCAAGCCCGAGTGGCTAGTCGTCATTGGCGTCTGCACACATTTGGGCTGTGTGCCAATTGCGAATGCCGGAGATTTCGGTGGCTATTATTGCCCCTGCCATGGCTCCCATTATGATGCATCGGGTCGCATCCGCAAGGGCCCGGCGCCATTGAACCTGGAGGTGCCCACCCACGAGTTCCCCGATGAGACTACCCTGGTCGTTGGTTAAAGATCCTTCGAAACGAAAGTTGTTAACGTTTAAGCAAAAGCCCCCGCGACAGCAAAAGTAGAGGAATGGATGGAATGTAAATTAATAAAAAAAACCACAAAAATACCAGAACGGTTATAAACTAAAAAATACCAAAAAGAACAGTTATGTTTGGGTTGGCAAATGTAACAAAGATTTGAAGACGCAATCTTTAAATTGAGAATTGTTCATAGCATACTATTACCACTATGGGTAGTACAATAACTTAATTTCGATATGATGGTTGCTATAACTGTAGGATAGGCAAGACTTTGTTGTAGTTATGCTTCTGTTGCGTATTAAAGTCAAATGTTCTAAAGAAACTTGAAAACTATAACAGCATTTGGGAAGATGTAGATAAATAATCAAAAATATCAGTTTATTACGAAATATTTACATAATAATGTGCGTCTATTTAACAGCATCATAAGCAAATCCCTCGCGAAGGGCAAGCAAAGAGTAAGGCAAAAAAATGATTAACTGTAAAACTGACCTGCACTGACCCGACACCCGATTTCCAATGCTTTCACATATAACACTAATGCAGCAATATTAGCACAAATACCATAATAAAATAACACCACTATTTACACTTTATTTTATAACTTACCACAAAAAAAAAAAAGAGAAAAAAAAAACCCGGCAAAATACAGCGTAGGTCACACAAACAACTGCTATCGCGTTTAGCTTAATTCTGCTTGTTTAACAGCAAACATAAACGGAACTGTAATTAAAACAATTCACACCCGACACTATAAAACAGCTTATATTTCACAAACTATAACACAAAACTAGTTAAACTTTATTTATTAACAAAAAAAAAAAAGCTTGCAGCAAATGCAGTCGTTATTTGAAGCGGTTGCCACAATTTGCCGAGCGTTGCCACACAGCCAAACTTACTTGTAGCTACCTATCGCTTGAACTATCGTGTAGCATCGTGTTTGCTTTAAAGAGCTGCCAGTATTTCGCTTTATTTTGATTTGGTGTCTCGCAATAGTTTTCATAACAAGTTTATTTATTTGTCTCTACGTAATTTGGTACCCTGTTAGCTGTATATAAAGATCTAGTGCTAATAGAAACCATGGCAAGCGGGGAGATACATTAACAAATTAGATGGAGATGATAGATCCCTTTAGTTTGTAAGCTTTTAGAAAACCTCTATGTATAGCTGATAAATCATCAGCCATATCCTTCAAAACCTTCAGCTTTTCGCGCTGAACTGCTAGCTGGGCTTCCTCTATTTCCAGACTTCTAGAAGATCTATTTAATTTATAATTCACTAGTGATGGTTGAGAGTTTTCTTCTGAATAGGATAAATCACTTTTGTTTGAGGCCGTTGACTCAGGACTGTTTGAGGGTCCTCTTTCGTTGGGCTCTATAGCAGGTGGACTGAAGAGGTCCGCATGTGGATCGTATGAATCCCTGCTATCCGAATCTTCCCAAGGCGAAAAGTCTGCAAGTACTTTGTTAATAGAAATATCTAAATAACATATCCAGACATATAGAAATTATTATACCAAAATTATCAGCCATGCACAGTCTTAAGTTAACCAGTTTAGACTCCTTTAAGATTTCCTTCAAATGACTAAAATATTTCCATTTGGAAGGCTCACCCGTTTTCCGGCATTTTAGCATTTCTATTCTGCAAGAAAGGTAATTATAGTTAATTGTCTTTTCAATAGTCTTCACAGCTATGTAGCTATACTACCTATATTTCCTGGTCATATTATCTATTTTGGCTTTGATTTCTATATGACTAAGTCCATACTTCCACATTTTTTCCGCCATTTCTTTATAAATTTCCGTTTTGACTCGCTGACCACGCAAATCGTCTATATTGTCCATCCACAGCTTTAAAAACAGGCTCGTCGATACCGCATCCCATGCAAAGCGTGATCCATTTTTGCGATTTTCTATAAATTAGTTAAACTATGTTAGGAATTTGGTAAAATTTCAAATTGCTTGCGTTTTCTGTTTATTTACGTTTTCTGTTTTCCATCCGCTGCATGATGTGCTGAAAATGCGATAAGCTAGAAATCGATAAGATGCTTTTTGTTTTTGAAGCTGTTTGGTCTCATCGATGACTCTGGCAGCGTTGGCTAAAGAAACGATGAATTCGTTTTAATAAAATGCGCAATAGAGGGAAGAATATAATTGGGGAAGTATATAAACTATAAATTGGCATAAGATAGCTCTTAATGAACGACTTAATTATATACTTGTGTGCATTTGCATGGAAAATATCGAAAATTACATGGGTTAATTTTGGTATTTTTCTATTTTCATCTGTTGCCAGCAGTGGTAATAACAGCCAGGTGGCAGCTCTACGCGCACAGCTGGCAATAAACAGTTTGTTTATTTTTCTTTGTTCATTCGGAAGAAATTTGTGAAAATAATGGCCGAGGAAATAGACGATAATGATTTCTATCGCGAAAACTTCAGCGCCGACTCGGATTGGGAGGTGTTCAATGTGCAGCTAGGCGAGCTTCTACAGAAATGGGATGTGGCCGTGGATATGGGCGCTCCACTGCAGCCGGAGGAGCTCTTCCATTGCAAATGGCACGTGGAGACAGAGCGGCTGGACATGTTGCGAAATAGCATTGCAGTAGATTATTACGAAGCGCAAACAAGTGAGAAGGGATCGCCAACTGCAGAGAGCGAGCCAGGCAGCGGCTGCTTGCAGCGCACGAATTGCCATCACGACTTGATGAGCAATTTGAACACCTTCGGTCCGCCCATACGCAGTTCCAGTGAGCTGCATACGCTGGCTAGGATCTATGGACTGCGCCGCTTTGTGCTGCTACATCCGGTTCAGGCGTCTGGCAATTACATGAAGTCCACCTCTGAGTTCAATTTCTTCTTGAGCGCCGCTGCTGTGGTGGCCGCTGAGGTGTCCAGCGTGGTGCCAATCTTTGTGCAGATCCATGATCCCAAATGGAATTTCTATACAGGAGTCGCTATGGCGCCCGCTCTGCGCACTAATTTTCGACTTATTGGACTTGAGCAGGCGCCGCAAGAGTGCCGTTATTTGTCGGGTCTGCTCACCCTCTTCCACGACAAGCTGCCCTCGGCGTATACTCAGGAGGCGAGGGTATCGGTGCGTATGACCTACACGCTGGACGCAGTTCGCATACGCATGCCATTGTATGTGCCGTTCAATCATGGCCTCGGCTCGGAGGACATTGCCATCGATGGCGATGTGGAGCGTCTGGATGTGCAGCATTTCTATGCGTTGCCACATGGCTATGCCCCGGAGTCGTCGACCGAGAGCTATCTGGTCTACACCTGGCCAGAGCTGTTGGAGAGCGTAACCTTTGACAGCGAACAGCGCACGGATTTCGTGCCCTCGAAAGCGCCATTGGGAAAGATCTATTTATCGGTGGAGGCTTTCTCCTATCTGAGCTTGTGCTTGGCCGATTATCAAACTGTGGGCAGGGTCACACGCTCGCTGGAGTCCTATGTGGGTCGCAATTTCTCCGGCATGAGCAGCGGCGCCGAGCGCACAAATCCATTGGATAAACTGACCGAGCACAAGTTGAGCGGCAGAAGAGAGCGCAGCTATGAGCTGCCCTCGCAAGAGTCTCTAACCAAACGTTTGCCAGGTCCCATGACCGAGAAGGAACTGATCGAATTGTTGGCCTATCTCTTTCCCGATATGTATCCCGAAATGGCGCTCTTTCCCTATGCCAAGCAGAGCTTCAAAGATAAGGTAAGAACTTCCTCCCATTCTCTGTACATTCCGTTACATATTTTTTTAACGCATTTCTCTTCTTCTTCAGTTTGATCCGATGCGCATTAAGAGCGCCGTTCCTGATTCCTTGGTTTGTCGTCTGAGCAGTTTGCTGGCCACCTGTCACGCCCACTTGGGCAGCTTGGAGGGCATGGCACAACTGTGGGCGGCCTTTACACGCCAGCTTCGTTTATTTTGGGATAATTGCTTAACAGTGCCCGGGTAAGTAAACCCATTTTATATGTGAAGAAAAGCTCAAGTCTTAACAAAAATATGCTTTATTTCGAACTCGTTGCGTATGAACGAAAAAACGTGTTTCTCTTTATTAACAAACAAAACTGGTTTCTAAAGAACTTTTAGTTTTAATATTTTTATTATATCTTGGTGGAAGCCGCAAATGTAAATTTTGTTTAGTTAAAACACATTAACAATTTAACGCTCATTTATGCTTAGAGAGTAACTTCGATCCGTTCTAAAGTCTAAGAGTGGATGGTGTTTCCGTTAACGATCTAAGGTTGTTTGCTTTTGGTGTTTCAGAGATGAGCGCGCTCTAATATTAGAACGGTATACATACAAATATCATATTTTTTATGTAGGCTTGGCTTTTAATGTGAAGTACAATATAATATCGAGGGCAGTTTGACGAATTGTTAGGCGTATTGGTAAAATAGATATGAAAAAAGGTTCTTTAAATAAACTAAAAAATTTTATTTAATAGCAACATTAATTAAAAAAAATATAAGAAAATTTAAATTAAAAAATTATATGTATATATTTATTTATTAAGCAATTCAAATTTTTTTTTTAAATATTGATTAATAGGACGAGGGTGCTTTAAAACGTTAACACCTTTAATAATAAAATATACAAAAATAAAAAAATGTTAAAAAAATAATTTTAATAATAAGTTATTTATTGGTTGATATATTTTCAACCTACCCTCGTATAATCATATAAATATAATATAAATTTTATCTCTTGAGATTTCAATGCGACACTTTACATAAATTATGTACCAAATTTTTTTTGAATATTAGCAAATTGAATAATATATAAAATATTTGGCAGTATATTTTGCTCTTCCATTGAATCTAGCTCATCTCGTTTCTCTAAAGTGCTGCTATAACTAAAAAACAAAACGAAGCCTGTGCCGATTTTCTTTTCTTTGCGTACTTATAATTCTTTTTTTTTTTCGCGTTGGTGCTAAGGCAGTTTATTAATTTTAATTCATTGTTTGGTATGTTTAAATACTAAATTTGATTTTGAATTGCTTACAGACTATGCTATCGATTTATCGATTTATCGATCAATATATAATTACTTTTTGCTTACTTTACAAGTGAAACATTTGCATTTGCTCTATCATTAAATGTTAGTCTACGAATTGTGGGGTGTTCTCTTCTACTTTGCTCTCCTTTAAATTTATTGCCTACAATTCGTTTTTTTTTGTATATATGTTTATTTATTTTTTGTTCATATATTATAGTTAATATATTTGTAATTTTTTATTGTTGTTGCTCTAAATAATTGCTCCCGTTTTCCATCTAAATTGTGTTTACCTGTCTAATGCTCAAAGCGTTGTCTTAACTTTTTGCTTAAATCGAGATCTAATCAGATATAGTCTATATATATATTAGCTTATTTGACTAAGTATTTAGTGCCAGTCATGAACGTTGAGATTGATTGCCATGTTTTGGCCCCCATCCTATCTATCGGCACTAAATATTGTTAACTGTCAACTGTGTTTGCTCGGATTAGCTTTTTATGCAAAATCCCTTTCAAAAAAATGCTTCGAAACTCAACGAGAAAGCTTAGAACTAACAATTTATGTACATGCATTTACAGATATATCAAATAGGATGAAAAATAAACTTAAAAAATTAAGTATAAATAATAAATTAAAAATAAAAATTTTAAAAGATAAAAAATAAAATAAATCTAATTTGAATATAAAGAAAAGATTCATGCACAAATTAATAAATTAATATCAAAATGAATTTCAAATAAAAAATATATAATTCAGTACCTTTTTTCAATTTGAAAGCAAATCGAAATTAATTGTTCTTCGAATTCTTCCTTTTATAAAAAATAATAGAAAAGTAAAAAAACCTTTTTTAAAATTTTATTTATTTAATTTCATTAAAATCTCACTATAAAATTATAATTAAACATAAAAATTAAACAATTAATTGTTATAAGTACAAACTTAGCACACAAAACGTTTCGATTGAAGCTTTTATACAAAAGCATCTAAACTCTAAAGCTTGAAATTAAACAAAAAGTAAAACTGCAAATAAAAAGTTGCTGGATAAAAATTCGAGAAAACATATTTCATCTCTCATAATTTACTAATTATATGCAAGGCAGTATATTGGAATATATATATACTTATATATATATATATATATTGTTTATTTTTTTTGGACAAACATAGCAAGTAAAATTGTTGAAAATTTTGCTTTAGATTGCTTAAATTAGAGTCGAAATTATTTGCCCTTTTTAAATTAACGTGAAAACAATTTAAATACATTTTTATAACATATTTTTAACCAATTTTTTTGAGAATTTTTCAAAGATTAATACAGCAAATAAAAATTAAAAAATATTTGCAAACTTAAAGGTTTTACTTGCTTAGCTTATCCAATCGTTTCTTTAGAATTGATTTTTGTAGATGTTTCTGTTTCATATTTGTTTCTATGCTACATTAAATAGTTTAGTTTAGTTGTTGTTTTTAATAGCTATTCAGTGTGTGTCTGTGGGTACGTGTCTATGCGTGTATGTGTGTGTGTGTGTGTGTATTTGTATTAGTACCATTTATAAGATATATGACTTATATGTTAGTTCTTTGATTGCTCAACAATTGCTGCTAGACCAAAAACTACGCGCACAACGACAAAGAACCAAAGGAAAGCGCTGCTACAGATGCAGATGCAGATACAAGTTGCAGTTGCAGTTATTTAGTATATATGTATATACACAAATCAAATATAATGTGTGAGTCTGTGTGTGTGTGTGTGTGTTTGTGTTTCTGTGTGTATTGATTGCACATTCTAAACAGCATACAAAAATAGTTTAGCTAAGTTGGACACGTTGTCAATTTATATTCTTTAGTTTTCTTTAAATGTTATGCAAATTGTGTGTGACAGCAACAGCAGCAACTGTAGCAGCAGCAGCAACATTTTCAACCGCAACAACTACAGCTGGCTATTGCACTCAAAGCGTTTCCAAGTTGTTGTCCAAGTCTTCTCTTTCAATGTCAGCCAATGTCAAGGCCTCAGCATCGCCTGCTGCTGTTGCTGTTGTTGTTGTTGCTGCTGCTGCTGTCTCTTGTTGCACTTGCTGCATACTTGACACTGAGCATGTTTCTGTTTGTGTGTCAACGCGATTGCTGTCAGCTATTGTTGCTGCTGTCTGCAACTGCTGCTGCGGCTGCTGCTGCTGCTCGCTTAGCCTACAATTACAAGTACAGTTACAGTTATCACTAAGTGTATGCGCATTAGTTGCATTTATTAAATAATTGTTGCGTCTACTATATAAAATATTGTTACTCGTATTTAACTGTAAACGAAAGGCATTGCTGCCGCGACTGCTGTTGCTGCTGTTACTTCTCTTGCTGCTGCTGCTGCTGCTGCTGTTGTTGTTGCTTGTGGGATGATAAATGATTTCCTGACGTTCATATTCGTTGAAATAGTTCTCAACAATAATGCCGTCTGCTGCTGCTGCTGCTGCTGCAGCTGCTGTTGCTGGCAACAGCGACTGTTGCTGATTGTTGTTGATGTTGCTCGCATGGCAGTTGCTGCTGCTGTTGGTGCTGCTGCCGTTGTTGTTGTTATTATTATTATTAAAATTTGCTGCACGTGGCACCACATCTGGTGGCGAGCTGCAGCGCTGTGAATTATAGTATTGTAAACGTTGTTGTTGTTGTTGCTGCTGTAGCTGTTGTTGTTGTTGTTGTTGTTGTTGCTGTTGATATGGCTGTTGCAATTGCTGATTGTTTCTATGTTGCTGCTGCTGTTGCTGCTGCTGTTGCTGCTGTTGCTGTTGCTGCTGACACCGACCATTGGCCGGCGTCAGATATTGTCAGAAAATGCCATCCAAATTTAATACAACATTGAAATATCAGGATAACATGAGTCGCCCTCATAATGGCACCAGACCGTTGCGCGTCGTTGGGTTGCGGGCCATATAGATGTCCATATCATGATCGGTCCAATTATCCGATGTATCGCAATAATTGTTTAATGTGTGCGTTGAGCCCGCTTGCGAATATCTAGAGGAGAGAGAGAGAGGGAGTGTGAGTGACATAGATCATTTACAAAGCATTGCAATATATTTCTCTATACATCTATATATCTTTATATATATTTGTGGAAAGTTGTGGGAAATGCGGTTAATGACTTGTTAAAGCCAAAACGAAAAGATTCGCAACGAAACGTATTGAATCGCATCGAAATGAAATATAATGGACGTAACAAACATTTACGGCAAAAGCAAAGCAAAGATTGCAACAATAATTATGAGCTGTATTAACAGTTAATTGTGTTCGATTATTAAACTATTGTTGCTTGTCTGTGTAGGTAGGTGGGCGTTTCACGGGTCGTTAATTGAATGGTCATTCAATTCGAGCTGCTTGGGCTCACTGAAAAATGTCTTTGTTGCTAGCTTTCATCAAAGACTTTAGCTTTTCAATTGTGTTTGAATTTATTTAGATTTAATTTGGATACATTTCGGTATGGTATGGTATAATTGTATATTTTTAAAACAATTTTGTTTCCATTATTTTTGAAGCATATCCCTAAACAAAACAAACGAATTTTTGCAAGACTTTTTGTTGGGGTTTCCTACAGCGAAATTAATTTCATTATTATTATTTTATTTTATTATATTATTATTATTATTTTAATATATTTTTATTATTATTATTATTATTATTATTATTATTATTATTATTATTATTA